TTTCCATTGCATTCTCAATTTTAAATGCATTGCTTATTAATTGAAGGAAAAAGTTGAAATGCACAAGTTTTTCAGGTACAATCCAGTCTCTCTTTCCACGGACAACTAAATATTCATGAGTATTCGTAGTTTCATAGTTGCCAGAATAATATTATCATTCCACTTTTCTCCAATACGAATGCGAAAAAATCAAGTTGGAAAGAAGAGTGGAGAGAAGTTGGAAAACAGTTAAGTTGCATTATCAGTGCCAATCTAGAGAACAAACGATAACTATTGCAGTCATAATTATCGAATTGGCACACCCATCAAGATAAAACTTCAACAATGGAAATTGTGAATTTTAATTCAATGATTCCATAAAAATTGATAGAAATCAGGAAAGTTTCAGCAAATATATTCTTCAATTTTTAATTATCCGAAAATGCAGTGCGATAAGGTACTAAATAGCCATGATTTTTCAGAAATTCATTGGATTTCTCAGTGAAATATGAAATTTTATGATTTTTTCCCAAGTCAAATTCAATGTCACTCGCCTGAGAATTACTACTAAATTTAACTGTCAATGAGATTTTCATCTATATTCTTTCCAAAATAATTACGTCAATAAATTCATCCCATTGAAATTTTCCATCACTCTAATGTCAACCACAAGATTTTTTCCGTATACTCGTCAGTTCTAGAAATAGAAGAATAGAAGTGGAATCATTAATTGCATCTCTCTTTCCGCGGACAACGAAATATATACGATTATTCGTAGTTTCACAGTTGCCAGAATAACATTATCATGCCACTTCTCCCCAATGCGAATGCGGAAAAACAAAGTTGGAAGGAAGAGTGGAGAGAAGTTGAAAAACAATTAAGTTGCATTCTCACTGCCAATTTTGATAACAAACGATAACTGTTGCACTCGTAATTATCGAAAATGACATTTCAGTCGCTCCGCCCACTCCCATCAAGATAAAACTTGTGAAATCAATACTCATTATTTCATTAATTAGCGCCCAAGCAGTTGAGGAGCGATTGATTTTATCTCTGATTTCTCCCGCTGTTGAATTCTAGAGGGCATTCACAAGCAGATTAAAACCATCCCTATAGTTTGGAATCCCCTTTCGCTTACTCCGGCTACTTGAAGCAGTCGTCCAAGTTTGTCTGAGTTCAATTGGGCTTAAACTTTTCGACTTGTGTCCAAACCCCCACTACCACCACCTGCTACTCGTTTCATACGGAAAGAGAAACCCTACTCAAATAGTACTCTCTACAAATCATACAGAATCACATTTTCCGAGCGAAAAAATCCAATCTTTACGAGTTAACTGGTCCCAAGTGGCACTCATCCCTCCCTTCTACCGCCCGCTCGGTTATTTACCCCTGTTCGAGTTTCATTCGATAAAGGATTCGATAAATTTTGGAAAATATTGAGGTAATTGGGGGAGGGCTATACATTATCTCGGGGAATCTTGGTTGTACTAAAGTCAACTGAACTTTTACTATTACTTTAATAGCAAAATCGTGTGGGAGAAAGAGGCTACGAGATGAATGGAAAGTGCACTTTGTGGAGTAAAAACCACTTCAAACTGCCATGCAGGGGAAGAAAGTCCGGACATTTCTGCGGAGAAATTTTGGTAAAAATATGAGGGATTTGAGTCGAACAAAACTCTTTATTTTGTTCTTTTTCTAGTCATTTCAAAGAAAATATTTCAATTATACGAAGTGAATAATGACATACTGTTGACAATTCAATCAATTTAGGAAAATATTGAAGTATGTCGGAGAGGGTTCATCTTGGTTGTAATAAAATCAACTGAACTTTTACTATTACCTTGATAGCAAAATCTTGTGAGAGGAAGAGGCTGCGCTATGAATGAAAACTCCACTTTGCGAAGTAAAAATCACTTCAAACTTGCATTGAGGGGAAAAAAGCCCGGAAATTTTTGTGGAGATATTTCAGTAAAAACAGTACGGCCGGAGAACATGCGCTGTTAAAAATTTCTTGAAATTTCAGTCACAATGTCATCTGAATTTCCAATGTTGTGAGTTTGAATTCAATTTCAATTGAAAACGTTCACTAAATTTCTCATTCATCATGAAAATTCAAGAAAATTTGATTTTTCATATTACAAAACCATTGATTTTTCAATGAAAGCTTGAATGTTCAAATTCATCGTGGAAATTGAACATAAAAAATAATTGAATTTTCAATAGATTGAAAATTCAGAGAAGTTATTGCCTGAATTTTCAACATTATCCAGGTTTTTCAGTGCCGTATGGATCTGAAAATCGAGAATTACTTGAATATTCAAGAAATTAACTGATTTGTCAATGAAGAATTCTACAGAAATTTTATGTCACTTTATCGTTGTTAAAAATTTCAAGTTTTGTCACTTGAAATTTCAAGTGTAATGTTCTAACAGTGTGCTGAAAAATTCATCATGAATTTTTATCGAATAAAACTCTTTGTTTTGAATTTTTCTATTCATTTCAATGGAAATGTTTCAATTATGTGAAATCAATAACGATACGCATTGTTAAAAATGCAATCATTTTTGGAAAATGTTGCAGTAATTAACATTATCTTGGACACGGAAAAAAATATACCTGAATCAAGTATATTTTATACTCAATCCAGGCATATTTTTCTTGGGGAACCGGCAACGACTGGCATTAATACTTAAGAAGCCTCATTAACAGCACCTAAATCCCCCATCTTCTCCATCAGTGCAAAAATTTCCTCGTTTTCCACTGCAAAAATGCACGCGCTCGCATTAAAATTAGCTTTCTCTCCGATCCCAACCACCAGAATATTCGTACTCTCCCCACCCCATGCAAATACAACCCCCTAACATTCCCCCGGCACTCCCCATACAAGTAACCCCGCGCTTTTGCGTTTTCTGCGTTCTCCATCAATTGCAGGCGCCATACTAAAATATATACACCATTGAATGGTGGCCAAAACGAAGAGCCCGCACACTGTTGAACATATAAATCAGTTCAAATGTCATGGACAACTGGGCTACCCCGCTCCCCTTCCCCCAGTTTGCATTTACCCGGATGAAGTGGAATAATTAATTTTGAATCAATTGAGTCCATTTGGTTCACTGGACCATCAGATTCGCCGTTCAGCGCACAAAAAAAATCAGGCCCAACAGATGAGAGGAGATGAGGGGACAGTGATAAATGATCATTTTCCACCAATCATGCAAATTATTCATGGATCATTGTTCATTATTGTTGGGGATTAATTCGATGGATTTGGCAAGCCCATTGAGTATACCTAAATGCTCCCCTGGCTGTGTCGAACGCGGGGGCATATATGTCCAAAGATAACCGAGTTACTATCGAATTTCTACCGGGGGGGGGGAGGGCAACCAATAGGTGGCACATACACACCCTAAAACCCGAAACCCCCTTTCTAGGCCCACCCGATAGTCAGTTTTAATTAATGCAATTTGCAATGCCGCTAACTGCACGACGTGCACGGATTATCTCCGGAAATCTTTCTCAATCCTGCCTGGTACTCACTGGAGGGGCGGAGAGAGGCGGAGGGTGACGGAGGAGAGAGGGGGTTTTGTACGCGCAACAGAATATAGAGTACCACAATTGTTCAAGCGTAAATTTAGAATTTCGTGCTTTCATCAGCTTTTCCGCCCGGCATAAACCATTAACGTATTTGGGAATATCTATATATGCAGTCGACATGTGTTGAAGACGTGCGGAATATTTAATGCATTGGGATTTTATTCTTTAGTAAATAAAATTGAATTCTTTGAAAATGGAAAAACCGCAGGGGATTATGATTTACTGTTGGGGTTTTCGGTGATTTTTTTAGGGAGTAATTTTTTTTCTCGGTTTTGTTTCACATTTCCGAGGGCGGAATGGGTCTCTATAGGATCGTAAATAGGGCTGGAGAAGGTGGGGGAGAATGATATATTTTTATCGAGTTGTGGAAGAAGCAAACAGGGTCGATGGGCTTTTGTATTAATTAGGTCCTTTAGGGGGAGCGGGGGCGGGGGTGGGGTGTTCTTTTATGGTTAATTAAATGTATGCTTAGGGGTGCCTTTTCGCTCCAATTTTGTCCCACGGGGTGGACGCAGCCCAGTTTGGGGCGGTGGCGACTTGACGGTGATGAAGGGGCGGAAGGGAGGGGGCGTTGGGGAGCATTTCGCTTGATCCTCCTGGAGAAATCCCGAGTTTGAATCAAATGAGAATTTTTATTTGACATTTTTCAGTTCATTTAAATAATATTTCTGGTAAAAATGAGGTTTGAAATCGATGAACTCATATATTTGATCTAAATAAAGGATTATTACGTATTCATCAATTTGTTTTCTTCACAGTCTAAACAATCATTAAGTGAGAATTTTCTCGCTGATGAAATGTTCATTTAAATCGTGGAACCATCGGCTTTTATTTAAAGAAACTATTTACTTGATGTGAATAACAATTTAAATACGAATGAAAGTTAAATTTTAATGAAATCTGTTCGGATAAATCCATAAATTTATTCAAATCACGTTTATTTAACACGTACATGTTAAGGAATTCGTTCGCTTCACCGTCCAAATGGTGATTTCATGGAAGAACCATGAAGATTCCGAAATTTCCATGAATTTTCAATGTAAACATGATAATTCAATAAGAAATTGCTCTGAAATTTCAAAAAATTGAAAATTCGAGGACATTTTTGCTTGAATTTTCCTAATTTCCATTAATTTTCATGGAATAATTTAACTGAAATTTAAAATTTCCATGAATTTTCCAGGAAAACCATGAATTTTCAATGATAAAAATCCCTGAAATTCCAATGAAACCGTCACTTGTTTCATATTTCAAGAGTAAAGCCTGGAAAATTCAGTGAAATTTTTTTAACAGTGTACCAAATATTTCTGATTCCAGTACCACGCTTCTTAATTTCAGCGCCGTTATCCTAGAAGCCAGAAACTGTTTTCTCTCTGCACATAAAAAATAATGAAAAACTAATTTTTATCCCTGTCTTGTTACAGTGGCTGGGTCTAGGTATAATGGCGGTCGGTGTGTGGGCGTGGAAGGAGAAGGACACATTCAACAATCTATCGCGCCTAACAAATATCGCCCTGGATCCAGCATTTATCCTCATTCTAGTCGGTGAGTCGTTCACTCCGCTGCAACAATACCAGAACTTCCCTCGCTCTGGAAAAACTTTTCCACCCGAGATATAACTCGGACCCAACTATATCCCTTACCCACTGCTCTTGCGAATTGACATGAGTAAGGAGAATGTAACTCCAGGATATACAAGACCAAGTAGCTGTGTTACTCCACATGTATTCTCACCCTCATCCCCTGACCCCTCCCCGCCCCCCGCGATATATCAGAGAACCGTTGAATACGTATTGACGAAAGCAGCAGTTTGGGGTCATGTAAAAGATAGTATCTCGGATTCAAAGCGAAAAATGTGGGGAAAAAAGGGTGAAAAGTTGGAAAAAAGTTGTCGCTGAGGAGGCGAACAGCGCGGAAGTACGGATTCTCGTTCGTCCGCAAAATGTGGCCACCTTCGTAAAGTTGATTTCGTTGTCTCCCACGGGGGCCGTTGGGGGATTAACGGCGGTTTACTCTCCTCCTTCTTTTCCCCTGGTTCCTGGCGTTCTACACACTAGTTTTGTTGTATCGTTGTAGAAGTTTGTGGAAATCTTGGGTGGAAACCCCGGGAACTTCTCTAACATTACTGTGTACTACTGTGCCCCTCTCTCCTGCACCAACTCAAAGTGGAAAAAGAAGTCATATAATTTCTGGACTACGGTGACACACAAAAAGGTGCAAGTTATATATTTCGGTGGGGGGAAAAAGAAGTGCGGAGGAAGCTGGGTTGAATGATGCATTGGAGTTTGAATTTCGCCGCTGGTAGAAATTAAGTTGAAAGCATTGAGGAAACACGTATGAAAAATTTGATCGAAAAACTTACCGAATTCGTTAGAAAATTCTTTTGAAATTCTCTAGAAATTCTATTGGGATTCTTAAAATTCTAGGGAATTCTCGTTAAAATGCTATTTGTTTTTTGCGCTGATTCTATGAAATATTTTGTAGGAGAAAGTCAATAGATGTTGAATTTGCTGTTTGAATTTTCCTTTTGAAATTTTTTTCTATTAAGATTACTTTTTCTATTAAAACAACAGGGAAAATTTTTTTTTGATTTTTGAGAAACATGTCACTGATTTTCATTCTTTTCAACTGTAAACCAAAATTTCTGAAATATAATTTCGCTTTCAGAAGGGCCGGGCAAATTTTGCAGTAGTTTCATTGATTTTTTTTTCCTCTGTTTCATAACGTTTTCATACAAAATAAATTTTCCCAAAAGTTTGATAAATTTCGACATATTTCTACTAGAATCAAAATTCGTTCTGCAAACAACTAACAAAAGTTTCACCGTAACAATGCAGTAAAATTGTTCATCACAAATTTTCTCAAAATTCTCTTTACACACCCTGTCCAGTCTCAATACAATGGCCTTTAGTTATCCTCCCAGAGCTTCTCATAGTTGAGAGCAATCACGATCACTATTGAAACAGGATGTGTTTAGAGAGTTTCGTGAATTTCATGTAGTAGCTGTATTCTGTCAGAGTGGTTAGGATACATTCACATACGTCGAGTCCAACTCATTCTCCAATGCCACCCGAAATTTAAATTTTATAAGCCTTCTTCCTTAGCTTCACGTATTTTCAACTGTATAAAAAAATTCCTTAAACGTCATTTTTTTTCAGCATTCCCTAAATTATTCAGTAAATTTTCATTGATTTTTTCTTGCCTTCGATCAATTTCCCAAACAGAGTAAAGTCTCCAAATAATTGCACAGTAAATTGTTATTGATTTTTTTCTCCCTTCCATCAAATTCCCGTACAAAATAAATTCTCCAAATACACGGAGAAAAATTCAATAAAAATTACCAACAAAAAAAAAACGTAAAAATTCCGTTTCGAAACGCAATCTGCGAGCGAAGTAAAATTCAATAAAATGTGTGAGTCGGAATTAAAACTTAACCATCCGTCTAATGACTCACCGCTATGGGGACAACAAGTCATTCCGTAATTTTTCCCCAACGATTGAGAAATTTTACGGAACGGTACGTAGAAATAGCTCACCAGCTTCATAAAAATTGTTAAACGTTCAAGAATTTTTTATTTTGGAGGCATAATAAGTCGGGAAGTTTCTGTAAGATTTTACTTGTTCGGAAAAGATTACGTGACAATTTTGTACTTTGTTAGGTGATGAACCTGAAAATTCACTGAACGTTTCAGATTTCTTCTCTTCCATTCCTATAAAAATTGTCGGAAAACGATACCCCATTGGGGATTACGTGAATTGTTCCGTAATTTTTGCTGATTATTCTTCCCAATCTGATTTCGGGGAATCAGAGCGCAGCATTTGAGGCTATCCGACAGTTTTATTTTGGATATTTCCTCCTAGCTTTTGAATATTTCGCAGTAGTTCTTCATTTTTTTACCTGAATATATCGCAGTAGCTCTTCAATTGGTCGGCTCATTTCAGATGGAATCTTATATTTCACAGTCTATGGAAATCGGATAATCTATTAACATAATTTGTTTAAATCTTCCCCAATTCACCTCCTGATGTTGTCTACTGCACTCTGCTTGGCCAAAATCCGATTGGGAAAAATAATCCGACAAATACCCCTCGAGATTCAAAATTAATCGGGTATTTCCCTGAAGCTCCTTTACAAAAGTAAAGGAGCGCAAGCGCTCGGGATTTTTTAACCTGCAAAACTTGACCCCCTCATTTGTTTGCAACGAAGCTATCGGGAAATACCCGATAATTTTGACGCTCTTGGGGTATTACTACTGAATATTTCTCTCCGTGTACAATCAAAATTCGTTCTACTAACAACTCCCAAAAGTTTCACCGTAACAACCCAGTAAAACAGTGCATCACAAATTTTCTCCAAATCCTCTTTACACACCCTGTCCAGTCTCAGCACAATGGGCTTTAGTTAGTCCCCAGGAGTTTCTCATATTTAAGAGCAATCACGATCACTATTGAAACAGGATGTATTTAGAGAGTTTCGTGAATTTCATGAAGTAGCTGCATTCTGTCAGAGTGGTTGGGATGCATTCACATATCCATACGTCCAGTCCAACTCATTCTTCAAGCTGGTAGTCCTTTCTCCACTCCTACGTAAATTCGCCAGTATTTCCAACCTTCCTCTTGTCTAATACTCTGGATTTTCGGTCTATACCATTTGCGCGTGTTTGAACGTCAAATACATGGTGAAGCTCCCTCATTTAGGATTGGGTACCCCCTGGCACTGTATAGACGTGTCTCATTGTGCAAACTCCTCTCCTCCTCCATCCCTGATAAATTTCTCTGTGCGAGTATAACACGTGAATATTCAACCCATGGGAATGTACTATTTCCTCGATTATAATACCATTGTTGTATTCCCTGTAGGTACGGTCACATCCGTCATTGGTTTCACTGGATGCGTTGGGGCACTCAGGGAAAACACGTGTCTATTAGCTGCTGTGAGTATTTGTCCATGAAATTGCATTTGTTTCAATAATTCACATCATCAGAACGTTAATTCTACCCCTGATTCAACGTTTTTTTTAATAGTTTAATACTAGAATTTCATGCTGTGTAATCAATTTATGGAGGATCAACACGATGGGATTGCGTTTAAAAAAATTAGAAAAATGATGAATACAAATTTTTATTTCTAGCGAAAAAAGAAACCCAATTTGAGGAAAATTCGTTGTCTGCACCAGACGGAATTTTCCACTTAATTTCAGAGTAAATAGTTCTTACGTTTAGTACCAAAAACCTATTAATTTGAAATAAATTAGTGTTAGAAAGTCACAGCTTTTCAATTTTGGAAATAAAAAATTCCTCGACTTAATAACTAAGAGCTCTTCAATAAAAAAAAACAGGAATTTCGGTTTTACACAGAATTATAATTTTTTTAAACATTCGTTGTTTATAAATAAATAATTGAAATTGTTCAAACTTGGGGAAATCTTATGTTTCTAGGCATAAAATCGATTTCTGGTAAAATTCTGAATATGAGTAAATTTTTTTCGGTTCCAAAAAAATGAGTTTTATGGTGGAAAATTGATTGTTTGTTAATTATTTATAGATAATGCTCATAATTGTCAAAAATTACCATTTTTAATTATTTCAGCAATCTTCCTCCAAAATTAAACTCTCATTTTTTTTCAGATTTGTAAAATGTTTTCTAACGATTCAATATCGAGATTAAAATTCAGTTGTAGCAACGTTTAAATAATAAAACCATTGCTTGGATATTCTTAAGACAGTTTACGAGAGAAATTTTTTCCGATTTTTTAATTTCCCAAATAATTCCTAGCCTCAGAAGAATATGTTCTGCATATAACCACATTTTTTCATCACTATATCCCGATGATTTCTACATTCATAGTTATCTTTTACAGTACGCTGTATTTTTGGGTGTACTACTGATGCTGGAGCTGACACTGGGTGTGCTGGGATTCATTTTTAAAGACTGGGTAATTAAAAATTTCACACACCCACCGCTTTTATTATACATTTTCGTCCGGATAGCTCCATTAAAATGTCGATAAAAGGCCAGTGGAGAGGTTTCATAAAGGGGCATAGAAATAAAATGAAAATAAAAAAAAAATTACGGTATAAACAGTGATAATGAAGTATGAGACAACGGTCTCCATTTCAATCGTGATAATAACACGTACGAGAGGGAATAGTAAACCCCTTCCCCTGTCTCCTGACGGGGAATCTAGAGCGAGAGCTCCTCGCGTAAAAACTCGCAATTTTATGACAACATTCCCTCATTGAAGCTTTGTTTTCTGGAGAGGAAACGTATGCATAGGTATATTGTAGTGATTTTTTCATTTATAGGGTTATTTCCTTGAAATTTCAAGGGGAAAATGTCAGAGAAATTCAGCGTTTTATGAATTTTAAAGATAATATTAAAACTGAAGAGATCTTTTGAGAAAAAAATCCACTGCATTCACTAACAAATTCTATTGCAATCCTATTAGCGGTTTTTTCTCAGGATAATTCATGGTAAATATTTGAGAGAAAAGGGTCAACTTGTTTTGATGTCTCTATTCAATCTATTTTGTTGTTATTTTGTCTGTAGTATCTTCAATCCCTGAGCGTAAATTTCATATTTTTTCACATTATAAAATGAAAAAAAAATGTCGTGGAATTTTTGTACGAAAAGTATCAGGAGAATAGATGTATAGAAAAATCAAATTCACTGCATATTGCAACTTGTATTTCATCTTGATGATAACCGAATGAGAATTGTCTATTCAATTTTTTATTCACGCGTGTATTGCTAGTTAAGGATGTAATCCCAATCATAAACTCCATTATGAAACATCTTCGATATCTTTCATCAATTCGTCTCGCTAACTATACAAATAATCGTTTTAAAGTAGCGCAAATACAGAATGAAAATGCGGAAACGAATTAAATCTCACAAGTGGCTAAAAAATTAAGGTCTATTAATTCCACTCCGCCTCGACGACAGTTGAATTTTTCACCTACTCTAACACAAAATACGCGCAATTGCAAGTATTAAGATAATTATAGTGTCTAATTATCCGAGAAAAATCAACGAGAACCGTAAATTTTAGTTCTATTATGGCCTGAATATTAATAGAAAACCGGAAAATGCCCATAAAGATATTCTTGAATTTTCAATTATTTAACAATTTCGAGTAATTTGGCACTGAATATTTATGCTTTCATTGAAAGTTTAAATAAATTGAAGGACTCTCGTCCCCATGCTTCTCAACATTTTGGATATTTATTGTATTTTCAGTAAAATCTGAAATTTCATGATTTTTCCCCATAAATTGCATTCAGTAGCACTTTCCTATAAATACTAGTCAACCGTCGATGAAATTTCATTTTTATTATCATAGTTATGGACATAATCCCCATCATAAACTCCATTACAAACTATCTTCAATGTCCTTCATCAATTCTTCTTGTCGATTATGCAAATAATCGTTTTTAAATACAGCAAATATAGAATAAAAATGCGGAAATGAATGGAATTTCTAAAGTGGCTGATGAATTAGGCTGTATTAATGCCACTCCGTCTTCACGACAGTTGAATTTTTCACCCACTTTAACATAAAATACGCCCAATTCCATGTATTAAGATAATTATGGCCTCTACTCACGAACAATCACTAAATATTCCTCACAAAATATTTTCCAGATTAAAGCCCAAGCAACTGGCGGCTTCCAAGCTTTTATAATTCATTATCGTGACGATCCAGATCAGCAGAATCTCATCGATTGGATTCAGGAGGACTGGGTTGAGTATTAAGCCTTCCCCGTAGAACGAATTTCCATGAAATATTCAGAGGGATTCATAATTAATTTGTGAATTTTTAATTTCACAACTTTCCGGGCATACAGTTTTTCCTTTCGTTTGAATTTCAAATGGACATGCTTCTCATATATTAATCACCTCACTAATGGTACCCGCAGAAATCAGAAAAAATGTGTCCATTAAATTCTACTAAACATTTCATGGAATGTTTATGCAAATTTTCACCGGTCGAGGTTGAAGTCCATTAAATCCCGAAATCATTATTATTTTCGTTACTTTAATCATTATAGCTGCAGTGCTGTGGGATAGAGGGTCCAAAAGACTGGGATAGAAACAACTATTTCAACTGTTCATCGATTGAAATTGGTTCTAGTGAAGCCTGTGGCGTGCCTTTCAGCTGTTGCAAGCGGGAGCCCAACGTGAGAAGTGTAAACTAAAATTTGATTGCTCAACCAAAATATCCCCCCTCCCCTCGTTACCGCGTTAAAATACTAGCTTTCAATAGAACTATTCACTGTTGGAGCATCGTTGTAGCCTTTTCCACGTTTGTACAACACTCGAATTAATCAATATGAAACATTGAAACGTTAAAGAAACACTGGAGAATAAAAGAATGCACAATGTGGCTTCTGTCAGTTTGTATACATTCGTTCATCCAAAAAAATATGAATGGGGAATTGGCTTAGCTTTTGACAGAATTGAAGTGTGTGAGAATAATAGAAATCAAAAATGAAATAATGGTTCTCAAATTTAGGAATCAAGAACTTCTCAATAGAAACAAAAATGAATTGATATTACGAAGTCACAGGCTCATCATTTTAGAAGTAAAAAATTCCCCAATTCAAGAACCAGATGTTCTTGAATTTAACAACGGGAAATGCACCAAAATAAATAAAAATATTGGTCAATTCAGAACAAGAGAGACTTGAGATTGGAATTTTTTTAGAAGAAATCATATTTTTTGCAAATATTTGCTGGTTGATTTCAATTTTACTTTTCCAATTAATTTATATGAAATATGCGGGTCCTGTCAGTTTCTATACCTTTGTTCATCGAAGAGAATATGAATAGTAAAGAGCTTTTGACGGAATTCGAATGCATGAGAATAATAAAAATTGAAATAATGGATGTTTTCAAATTTAGAAATCTTCAACTGTTCAATAGAAACAAAATAAATTGATTTTATAAAATCACAAACTATTGATTTTAGAAGTAAAAAATTCTGTAATTCAAGAACCAGGTGTTCTTCAATTTAAAAACGGACATTCCTTCAAAGTAAATGAAAATATCGATGAATTTAGAACAAGAAGGATTTAAGATTAGAATTTGAATTAGAAAAAATAACATACTTTAAAATCGTTTGCTGGTTGATTTCAATTTTAATAAGTTATAGCTTCAGGAGAACACGTCAAATTCCAATTAATCAATATTAAACATAAAATAAGAACTAGCCAATAGAGTACACAATTCAGCTCCTATCAGTTACTATACATTCATCCATCGAAAAGAGTATGAATAGTGAAAAGCTTTTGACGCAAATCGAATACTTGACAATAATTAAAAACTGAATCCCTCCCATTTAATTGGTTTCTCCCGAGAATTTTCAGTAAACCGTTAAAATTTTTATTTCCCCAGGAAATAACGAAAAACAAGCAGTGTGGATACAACGTACGTAAACCTGGAAATGTAAGTTGAATTTTTCTCTCCTCAAACTTTGTATATTTTCGTTGAAATACTTTCCTGACAGAAAGTTTTTAATTAACAAGAACTTTTTTTCAATTTAAAAACTTCACAATCTTCTTCCTTCTCTCTCTTGATAACTCTATCATTTGTTTGAAGGGTAATGAATTATCATCAGCTTTAACATCTCCCTAAAATGATCAGTGAAATATGATAATTGGATCTTCCCTGTGCAATACTCGCTATCTGAACAATCCATTCAACTCTCCTTACTAAGTCCTCTGTTTACTCCCCCCCCCCCCCCCCCCC